TGGGGGGGGGGGGAGCGTACCTGAGGGGTGAGGTGCGTGTCACTGAGGGCAGCGCACCTGAGGAAAAGAGCACACCTGAGGGACCACACCTGAGGGGGGGGTTGAATCGCTGAGGGGACCACACCTGAGGAGGGGAACACACCTGAGGGGAGGAACTCCCTCGAGGGGTGAGGAATGTGCAACTGAGGGACGAACGCCTGAGGGGAGATGCGCACCGCGCTGAGGGATGCGCACCCTCAGGGGAGGCCCGCGCGTCCCGAAGGCGGGAAATCCTGAGGGAGAGCCCCCGGGGCTTCCAGAGCTCCTGAGGGGCAGCTTCCATAGAACCCCGAGGAGCAGCTTCCAGAATCCCGAGGAGCAGCCCTGTCTTCTCTCACAGCAAGGAGGGGCTCCCGTTACTTTGAGGAGCGTCTTTTCCAGAGCGCTGAAGGAGCACGGCTTCCCTAGAGCAGAGCCGGGGTTTCCAAGCTATTTAGCACATCCTGAGGGGACTGGATTAAGTTAAGGACTAGCTGTTATGTACGGATAAATATTAAGTAAGGCTCATAGTAGTCAGCTGGCTGTGTCATGGAGATTTTCGTGCCACCCAGGGCAAGGGGTTACTTGATTTATCCATTCTTTTCTAGGAGTCAATGTTTCGTACCATAACACTTTGAGGGTTGTAATAGTTCCTCTGCCCGCTTACACAGGTGTTGGGATAAAAACCTTCCTTTCTTTTCTGGGTGGGTTGCTGCCAGGACCTGGCAGCCAAAGTATTTGGGAAAGCCTGAGGAGAGAAACTTGAAACTTTGGGGTTTTTTGTGTATGTTTTGGAAGGCATTAAAACTTTGCGTGTCACCAAGACTGAGCAACATGCAAAACAACATTTCTGCCCAAGTAGGCATGCTTAAGAAAGAAAATACTGTTTTTTTCCCCCAATTTGATATATTTGAGCAAGGAAACACAGTTTTTTGAAGAGATAAGTGACTTACTGCAGTCACATAAGAGGTGTGTGGCACAAGCAACTGTACCTGTGGGACAGGAGGTGGGTTGAAAGAGAAATGAAGAAAACCACACAAATGTTCACACCTGCAACTAAATCCTGTTCCCTTAGCCTGGGAGACCCATTCAGGGATTGCATTGAAGTAGAGGAGTCAAAAGCAGTGAAATCCTTTCAGCTTTATGTTGTTGTAGGGGCTATTGGAAATATAATATAAAATGCACTAGGAGGCAATAGATAGGTGAAAGAGTCACAGGATTTGATATGTAAACTCATCATAGTAAGATTTTCAGGAATATGTGATACTAAATATGTATTCTCACCACTGTTTACCTTTTTTATATACCTTGGAAGTATCGTGATTTCCACACGTCCAGGAAACTATCAGTGTATCTGAGAAAGAAAGAATCAGTTCTGTGCAATAATGTTGCTTTACTCACCAGTTTGTGCTCCAGAAAACCTTGGACAATGCAAGTTTGTTACCAATACAAGAAACATTTTCTAAACATATGCACGATCAAGTTCAGCCCTTTTGTAGTTTGCTCCCCTGAAGCTGTTCCTGTGCCTTTCACTACCCAGCATGGCACACCATGAGCAGTTCATCCAGTGTTTCATAGCAATTTGTATCCCTCGTGTTATCTATTAATTTAATTTTGACCAAAACATTTCTCCTCTTGAGCTGTTTTTGCTCAGTATGCATTGCACTAGAAATTACCTTATTTAATTGTGAAGTAGCTCTGTACTTTACCAGGTCCACTGATTATTTCTTAATTGCATCAAGTGCAAAATTGGAGGCAGGGGTTTTTTTCTTCTTTTTTTGGCCATGATTATCTGAGCCTCTGGCATTAAAAAAATGTCAAGTCCCTTTAGCCAAGTGCATTAATAGAGTAGTGCGTCTAAATAAAAATACCATAAGATCAGAAGCATGAAATATTCTACTACTAGGGTCCAGAAGACATTAATCATTATCTTACACTGCATATACTGCACACTTTTAAACTTTATAAAAAAATGCAATTACTTGAAGCATCATGTTACTTTCATCTGGCACACAGACCATCATTTTTAAAACATAAAAATTGAAAAACAAGATCAGTGAGAAGTTGGACAGTTCTGCTCTTCACAGGAAAAGAGCACTGATCTGATCTTTCAGCCACAGGCCACATATACCAATTTAATTACAATTATTGTTTGCCAGAAGAATCATAATGGAGTACATTATTAATTACTTGTCCATTCAAATATCATATTCAGCCAGTTAAACTATCTATAAAATCGTGACTCCGGTGGCAAAAAAAAGAATGCACAGAGCAAACACTTGAAAGCACCAATTTGTGAGCTAAATTTTGTTAGTTATCCCACAACAGTCAGAAAGAAAATGCATTCAGCAGTCACAATGCACATAGAACCACATTGAAATAATGTGGATGTTTTAAGAGCTGATTTTTTTTATTATTATTTATTTAAGGATGTTATGAAAGGCAAGAAAATAACAGTGCATTGTTCTCCAGCATTAGTGTCTCCAACAAAAAACAATCCATTTAAACCCATGCAAAATGGCTAATACTGTTATTGCTGTCCTTTTTCATAACTCAGTGTCATTTTATTCGTCTCACCCCTAAGAAATGACCTTTTCTGTGCACATCCCCACCTTTTCCCACAAATCCCCTGAGTGACAGAATCTCATCCTAATCCCATTTCCATTTAGATGTTACAGGAAAGCATTGTAGACCTTGGAGGCAATAAGTAATCATAATGGAAAGATAATAATATGTTTATAAAATCTGGATTTTAGAATAGCAAATTGAAAAATTACAATAGTATTTCAAGCCACTGAAGGTCAATGTTACTAAGAGCAAAAAGCCATCGATCAAGTGTTCTCAAACTTTTCTAGTTTAGACTATTTTTTGATACAAAGCATCTCTATTTCAGAGAGCAGCACCTCTCTCCTGAGGTGATGCCTCATCTACCTAGCAGTCACTCAATCTGGTGTTTTAAACAGTATTTAGTATGTTTTCCTACAAAGAACTATTTTTCTAGTGCAGCTTTATTTTTTAAGCAGACCTAAAAAGAAATCCCAGCTAACAACTTCCCAGGCCTCTCCAAAGTCCACTATAGACCCCAGTTTAAAAATTCCAGCCCTTATTAATTCTTAAAGGTAAAACAATATGTAAGAACTCATAACTAAATATACCAAAATACTACTTTGAATATTGTATAGTTGTAGTTTTTTTAAAAGAAGGTATATTTGCTTCCTTGTACCTAAAAGCTACAGAGTTGTACGTACAGAAGACCACTGAAACTTAACTGAGGTCCTAGACAAAAGAAGAAAAAATAACACTCCAGCCTTGTCCTCAACTAGTTAAGGAGCTTTCCTCTCTTGAGTTTCAATTTTCCACTGTTTTGAATGCTCCTGGCATTCCTGGCCCTGCAGCCCGTTTTTCCTTCTGCCTGCTCTGGTTCCCAATCAATGTCCTTGTACAATGGGCCAGTTTGGTCACTGACCAAAAAGCTAATGTGTTTTTATAAAATTCTTTTTAGATGGCCTGGTTTGCTGAAGTTGCGGCAGAAGCACTAGAGGTGACACGAAGAGAGTGTGAAGAGGGCACATCCACAAGCCAAACCACCTTTTTTTGGAAGCAAGATGTTAGATCAGACAGTGGAAGAGAGCACAGGTGAGAACCACCAGGCTTCCCCTTCTATCACCATCCTCACAGGCCACAACCTCTTACTGGCACAATTTCTACAGACACCACTTCCTTTGCTTGTGCATGGAGTGATAGGACAAGGGAGAATGGCTTCAGAGTGAGACACAGGAGGATTGGATTAGGTGTTAGGAAGAATTTATTCCCTGTGAGGGTGGCGAGGCCCAGGCACAGGTTGCCCAGAGAAGCTGTGGCTGCCCCACCCCTGGAATTGTTCAAGGCCAGGTTGGGAAAGGCTTGGAACAAGCTGAGATAGTGGAAGGTGTGCCTACTCATGACAGGTTTTGGAACTAGGTGCTATTTAAGGTCCCTTCCAACCCAAACCATTCTGTGATCCTATTTGCATAGAGCTGTCTTATACTCTACTTTTATTTCTGGCTATTTTAAAACATTTTTCATCATTAGCAGCTCACAAGCTCAGAGATTCTGGACACCTCCCTCATAGCACCTCAGTACAATGCAGTACAGCTGTTCACAGAAGTGTCTAAGCAGCAAACCCGTCTGTTCTGATGATTTTGAATGCAATTATTCTTCTGTATTTGAAGATCTTTAATATCATATCCAAACCAAGAGCAGTGATTGATCTATTAACAGTATAAAATGATTAAGTAAGCATTGGCTATTTTAAAAATGTCTTGGGACTAGAGGGCTCTCAAAGCTCATGTTCATCTTTGTATATATAGGCAAAGTCTTGGCACTCTTTTTGGCAGATGACCCAGCAAAATGACTGATGTATGAACATTAATGCATTCACATAAATTAACTCTGCACATAAAAAACACAGAGCCTTTAAGCCCAATTACATCTTCCCCAATTGTACAAATACTCCCTTTGCAGTCAGTGGCAGCTCAGGAAGATGAGGCCAATCCATATGTTATATTGATTCTAAAGGCACAAGAGTATGCAGTTAATCCCTTTCAAACCTTGCAGAGCACAGGCTCTTGGAGATCTTCCAGGCAGCCAGATGAAAGTTGCCTTTCAGAACCAGGGGCTGTG